GTCGTCGCCTTGCTCCGGTACTGCCTCTTCTCCCTTTTCGACCCCAGCAACACAAAGGCGTTGCGTGTTTGGCTGTCGGCGGGGAACAGGCAGCGGCTGCTCTCCTGGAGCTGCAGCGACGACAGCTCCTTCTCGGTGCCCAAGGAGTTCTCCTGCCCGATTTCTTTGGATTTGATGCGCGATCCCGTGGTGGTCTCCACCGGACAGACCTATGACCGGCCGTCGATCATACAGTGGATCGAGGAGGGGCATTCCACCTGCCCCAACTCCGGCCAGGCCCTCTCTGACAACCGGCTTGTGCCAAACCGGGCGCTCTGCAGCTTGATTTCACAGTGGTGCGGGGTGCATGGCTTTCAGTTTGATTCGCCGGAGAGCAACGAGGGGATGATTGAATGTGTTGCTGCATCGTGCAGCAGCAAGGCAGCAATTGAGGCGAACAAAGCCACAGCAAGGATTTTGGTCAAGATGCTGATGGAAGGATCCGATAACACAAAGCCGGTTGCAGCTAGGGAAATCCGGTTGCTGGCAAAGACTGGGAAGCAAAACCGGGCGTTCATTGCCGAGTTGGGTGCGATACCATTGCTATGCAGATTGCTGCTGTCGTCAGATTGGATGGCGCAGGAGAATGCAGTGACTGCACTGCTCAATCTATCGATCTATGAGCCGAACAAGACAAGGATTATGGAACAAGGCGATTGCCTGCATCTTATCGTCAGTGTGTTGAAGAATGGTTGGACGACAGAGGCCAAGGAGAATGCTGCAGCTACGCTCTTCAGTTTATCTGTGGTCCATGACTACAAGAAAAAGATAATGAATGAGCCAGGGGCTGTGGAGGAGCTTGCCTCTATGCTGACCAAAGGGACACCAAGGGGAAAGAAAGATGCAGTGATGGCATTATTCAACCTCTCAACACATCCAGAAAGCTCAGGTCGGATGCTTGAGTCATCAGCAGTTGTAGCTTTAATTGAGTCACTGAGGAATGACACCGTGTCGGAGGAAGCTGCTGGTGCTCTGGCTCTGCTGATGAAGCAACCTACCATTGTGCATCTTGTTGGGAGCTCTGAAACAGTGATCACTAGCCTTGTTGGGTTAATGAGGCGTGGAACTCCAAAGGGCAAGGAGAATGCAGTGTCAGCTTTATATGAGATATGCCGGAGAGGTGGATCAACATTGGTACAGCGCGTGGCAAGGATACCTGGGTTGAACACAGTAATACAAAACATCACGCTCACAGGAACAAAGCGTGCCAAGAAGAAGGCAAGCTTGATTGTCAAGATGTGCCAGAGAAGCCAAATGCCATCGGCATTGGCACTAGGAAGTACATTGACAGTGGTTGATCATTCATTGGTAGGGAACAGCACATTGAGGCGCGCTGCAAGCTTTGGCAGCGGGGAGTTGTCAAACCCTGTGTCAATTTCAGTGCCTGTGCCCTAGGTGGAAAAAAAAAATCCATTCCAGAGCCCACATAATTGTCACATTTGGTGAGTTTTGTCCCTGAAATTCTTTCATCGCATCCTCAAATGAAGGTATACAAATTTAATCCAAAGAATCAAATATATCAGATGTGCTTGGGTGTATGTGATTGTGAATAACTGTGCAGATATAGGTTTACAGGCAGAATTCCAGCTTGATGTTTCCTTGGAAAGCTTGGAAATTATTTATTTTTTGTTCAGTTTCAAAAACACCAAATATGTATGCAACTTGCTGTAAACCGTTCTCATAATTTAGTACTCGCTCCATTCTAAATCGTAAGTCATTTTGGCTTTCTCGATGTGTCTCTACACATCACTTATATTTAGGTACATGCATACCTAGAAAAGCCAAAACAACTAGCAAATTGGGACTGAGGGAATAGTTTACTTTTGAGGGAAAATTGGAAAGAGATGATATATCATTTCACCAGTGGACTTGTAATAGAACAGAGGATGAATTATCACAAATGCATCTTCAACATATGCATGTCTTGCTTTTGATCGACCAAAGAGAACCGGTGCTGCTTGTTGCATAGGAGAGGGAATAGATGCCAATCTGAAGAACATCCCGAAAAAGTCAGGGCGCTTTGATTCTTGAAGATATTTTTTGACTGAAGACAACCTTTTTGCAAAAAATTGAGCTCTGACCAGAATCTAAATCTCCACGAAGATTATACATGTGCATGCCAATCTATGCTGCACTAAGAAAAGGACCTCAGCTTAAAAACAAAAGATTCTTTGGAGGAGCTGAGTATGTAGAACAAAGGTTACAATTCGTAATGATGTGGATCTGGGGTTTCACATAAAAGTTTCAATGAAGAGTGCTTGCCGGGACCTACATAAACGAGGCGCCTCCAGCAAGAATTGCTGCAGGTAAGCAGAATAAGGCGGCCATCTGATCTAATGGCAACCCTTGGCGTTCGCACATCATGATTGGTTTCAAGGCTGCTTAGTTTGCATGGCCTACAGTCTTCCATTCTGCAGCTGTGAGCTGTGAGTGTTCGTCATGAGAAACCGTGTGGAATATTGTGTTCCCAGTTGGAGATTTGCCTACACCCATTTTGGATACTTTGTCTGAATGCATGTTGCAACAACCGGATATCATCATGATACTGGAGACTTGTTCTGGAGAAACACCCTAGTTAGGCTGAACCGTCTGTCATGCCATTGAGTACTTGATTCAAGTCTCAACAAAAGATTCTCCTTTTTTTCTTAAAAGAAAACTTAAAATTCATGAAAACATTTTGGATGCATGCCAACCTTTAGGAGCCATTTAAAAGTTTCAGAGCACCTTTCCATAATTCTATTTTTAAAAACCTTTCTGGAATTCAAGGATGTATGAATCATTAGCCAATCTTTTCTTTGTCCATGAAAAAGTGTTGAGAAATTCTCTTGTTTGACCTACATTTGCCCCACAAGACTCCTACAGACCTTTGCACACTGTCCCATGTTTTGCCGTTCTGGTAAGAGCGTCTCCAATAGTCTTTCTAAATCTCATTTTCTAAATTATCATTTGGAGTCATTTTCATAAAAATCGTTTTCTATATATTTTCACTCTCCAACAGCTTTTCTATATATCGTGCGTTCTCGTTTTCTATTTTTTGCTAGCGAAAAATCCGGAATAGAAAATGGTTATATTTGCATAACCATTTAGACAAGCAGTTGGAGAATAGTTTTTTTACTAAAATCTTTATTCCTAACATTTAGAAAGGATATAGAAAGTCTCCTATAGTTGCCCTGACGCCTCCTCGCCGTTCGTCATGGTCTTCCCGGCAACTTTGTTTCTAAGCGAAACCGTGTGCCCTCTGCAAACTTTCTGCCTGTAATAATAAATAAACTGAGAAAAAGGCCGTCGTCCATTCTCTACGCCGCAGCTCTGACGAGTTTCACACCACATGATTTAGCGATGCGTCAGAGATGAACCACAACCAGGCAGAGGCAAGGTCTAGAACTTGGCCAGACTAGTCCACACCTGGATCATGTCGACATGTGACGGAGGTTTCCCAGTTGATGGTTCTGTTACTGGAGGAAACTGGGTGCGTGGCTTCCTTCTGAAGTTCTGAAGCTGATGTGGATGCGCTGGAGCAGCCTGATCATGGAACTGCAGGATACGTATCAAGAAAATTAGAGTTGCTCCAAGATTGATGATTTTGTGGTTGCTGTGGATTCAGGTCACTAACAAGTGGGGCCCAGGACTACCTTTCATCGTCTTCGAATCGTCCTGGGCAGTAGCTGAGAGCTCTGGGAAACTGAAATAAGATATGTCCATGGTTAGAGTGGAGCAGATTTGAGCTCCTGGATGGATGATATTTTCAAGCAAGGTGCATGTTTAAAGAGTATATACTGGGAATCAAGGCAGTAACCAATTAGGCAATTCACATTGAAAACCTGGTGTTTTCTCGAAGAATGTTTGACCATACATTACATCCAAGAACACTGGTGCGTTCTGTCTTGGTCTTCGTGTATCCACCACAACCTACTTGATGGTGCGATTTTCTTAAACATTCAGAGGCAACTGAAAGAACAAAATATTTTAGCTGAGAAGGTTGTCTTTTCCCCCACTCGTTCTCATGGAAACTGAACACGTCAATTATATTTCTTTCCTGCAGATCGAAGCAATCTAGTCATGACACCGGCAATATAAATTTTCAGGCCGAAGTTTGTTGAGACTTTCTTTTTTCCATCACAAATTCACAAGTAATCAAATATGTTTCACCAAGTTTGTAATAAAAAAAAATCAACTAGTGTCCATTAAGGGAACTACAGAGTGAAGATAAAGAATCAGGGGCATGATGACCAATATAAGGTTGCCTGTGGTAGATCTTTTCTCACCAACAGGCAGTCCTCCTGCCTCGTTCGTTTTAAAAAAAATCCTGTTAACATATACAGTACTATGTTTATGTGATAGACCATAAAATATGTTGATCCAAAGTTGATCAAACCACTTATGTCAGCGAGGAAGTTGAACTTGCATGAGTGCTCTACATGACTTCTTTAGTTCATAGAGAGGTAGTGCTCTGCATGACAACCTCCGATAACTGGGATAAGTCCAAACTATCTAATCCAAGCTCGCTTGATTCCTGGACCCCAGTTTTTGCATCCTATAATGATATGCCTCGGTTGCATAGCATATGCTCATCTAAAAGGACAGTTTGGTTCCCTGATAGCAAGTTTATTTCACGATTGACAACCAAAACTTCAGCAACTGGATTCAAAACAAGGACTTAAGGGTGTTGGCCATGAACTATGCCAACAGCCATCGGAATTTTGTTTCCAGTGTACTTTATGTTTGCTTTTTAGAACTTGGATACCACTAAGTCTCCACTCCTCCCCTTGTCTAATTGTTTAATCTGATACATGGACACTTGTCTTTGCAAAAATTTCCCTCCAGGACAAGCTCTAAACTGCATCTCTCTCCTCCCTTCATCTATCTCCGAGGCCACCTCTCCAATTGTCCATTGTCCAGACCAAAAGATCACATGATCTGCAGACATTTCCATGTCCAGTCCAAGAACTCACAAACCAGCCATGCCTAGGGTTGAAAGCTTGCTACTCCTTTTCATGTTGTCCATTCCTTTCTCCCAAGCTTGGTCCATTGATTACCCTAGCCCCATCGCCAACCTTCCTGCTATATGGACCAACAATGAAGCTACTATCCCTTACAATACAACCTATGCTGACGGTTCCATGATCAGAGTCATTCTTGTCAGGCAGAAGCCTGCTGGGTTTGGTCCATCCTTCGGCTGTGGCTTCATCTGCACTGCGCCCTGCAAGGTCTTCCTCTTTGCAGTCTTCTTTATGTCCATCGGAGATCCAAACGACCCTGCCTTCAATGCCTCGGCAACGCCAAGGATCGTCTGGACAGCCAACAGGTACCGCCCAGTGAAGGAGAATGCATCAGTGCAGTTTAACAAGGATGGAAATCTCGTTCTGAGAGACTTCGATGGTTCACTGGTCTGGTCCACGACTACATCAGGCAGCTCGGTTGTTGGCATGAACCTTGCTGAGACTGGGAATCTGATACTCTTCAACGTGATGGGGAAGACGGTGTGGGAATCGTTTGCACACCCAACTAACACTCTCCTCATTGGGCAGTCACTGTGGCAAGGGAAGAGGCTTAGTTCCTCTTTTTCGGAGACAAATAGTACTCAAGAAGGTCAGTTCTACCTCACTCTGCTCGACAATGGCCTCTATGCTTTCATTGATGCAGACCCTCCACAGTTTTATTATCAGAAAAGCTTTAATATAGCTGATGCAATAGTTCAATCAAAGAGAAACATATCCTCTGATCAAGTGAAGAATAGCACGGCTTACATTTCCTTCTTACAAGGGAGCTTCTCAGCATTTCTTAGCTTCAACAGCACAGACATCAAGTTATTCGACATCTCTCTGCCTTTGCCATCTTCAGCACAATTCATGAGTCTTGAGGATGATGGGCACCTGAGAGTTTATGCATGGGACAGTGTTTCATGGAAAGCTCTTGCTGATGTTTTGCATGTGTATCCTAATGAATGTGCATACCCTACAGTATGTGGAGCATATGGAATCTGTTCACAAGGGCAATGCAGTTGCCCACGTAGAAGTAATGATGATGACCTTTTCCATCAGTTGGATGACCGGCAACCTAACCTGGGCTGCTCATTAGAAACTCCTCTGTCCTGTGACCTGATCCAATATCATAAGCTTATGGCACTCCCAAATGTCACGTACTTCAATTTTGCAAACAATTGGATTACCGATGAAGAAAGCTGCAAGGAGGCATGCTTGAAGACCTGTTCATGCAAGGCAGCATTTTTCCAGCATCAAAATGTTTCCAAGGGCTCCTGCTATCTGGTGCCAAAGATCTTTTCACTCATGAATTATCAGCCAGAAGTGGCTGGTTACAATTTATCTGCATATGTCAAGGTGCAGATGTTACCACCACCATCAAGTAAGAGAATAAATGCAACTGCTTACCATGTCGGTGTTCCTGTTCTGGTTGTAGTCATCTGCCTACTCATTCTCATGATCAGAAGAACAATAGTGAAGAGGATGGAAGAGGACGATCCATTTAAAGGAGTGGCTGGAATGCCTACACGGTTTTCATACAAACAGCTGAGAGAAGCAACCAATAACTTCAGCAAAAAGCTGGGGCAGGGAGGATTCGGGCCAGTGTATGAGGGAAAACTTGGAAATGTCAAGATTGCTGTCAAATGCTTGCGTGACATTGGACACGGGAAGGAAGAATTCATGGCCGAAGTCACTACCATTGGTAGCATCCATCATATTAATCTTGTTAGATTGATAGGATACTGCTCAGACAAATTCCACAGGCTCCTTGTCTATGAGCATATGAGCAATGGGTCTCTGGATAAATGGATCTTCAGAAAGAACAAAAGTGGTTCACTCAGTTGGGCAACTCGATACAAGATTATCCTAGGCATTGCAAAGGCTTTGGCCTACCTTCATGAGGAATGCCGCCAGAAGATTGCTCATCTTGATATTAAGCCAGGAAATATCCTCCTTGATGACAAGTTCAACGCAAAGATCTCTGACTTTGGTTTAGCAAAGCTTATCGATAGGGATCAAAGCCATGTGATGACCAAAATCAGAGGAACAAGGGGTTACCTAGCACCGGAATGGTTGTCATCAACAATCACTGAGAAGGCTGATATCTACAGCTTTGGCGTAGTTGTGCTGGAAATAGTGAGTGGAAGGAAAAACCTGGAAAACAATCAGCCTGAGGGTAGCCCTAATCTAATTAATATACTGCAAGAGAAAATGAAGGTTGGGCAAATTCTGGATATAGTAGACAATCAGGATGAAGATCTCCAGTTACATGGATCAGAAATGACAGAAGTAATCAAGCTAGCTGTCTGGTGTTTGCAGCGTGACTGCAGTAAAAGACCAGCCATGTCACAAGTTGTCAAGGTCTTGGAAGGTGTTATGGACACAGAAAGTACTGCAGGTCACGATGCAACTGGCAGAGATGGTATTTTTGATGCTTCATCCCCTTTGTCCCCAGTGCCAGTGGCTGCACGATAATATGTTTTAGCAAAAGTAGGGGAGAAAAGGCTCCTTTGCAATTTAGTTGCAACTACCATGTATAGTGTCTTTGTAAATTTGTTTCTTGACATTGTTATTTGTTAATTTATGAATGAAATGAAATATGAAGTTTATTGATCAATGATCTTCGAAAAACATGGAAAGATGAGAAGTAACATTTTTTATCCCTTTAGGTCACACTACACATAATCTATTTGGTCACTTAATTAAGGAAGCCTATATGCTTGGAGGATTTTGGCAAATGAGGCTAAGAGAAGTGCCTGCTGCATGGATGCCAAGTGTGCTACTCAATAATATCTGTGTCACAAAGTGAACCCGCTTTCGAAATTGTGTTCTATATAATTTTGGAGGATTACTTATTGATTACAGTTACAGCAGGTGGCATTCTATAGCAGCTAAACAAGCAGACATGCCACAAGAGCTCATGATGATATGTCCCAGAACTTTGGTTGGTTATGTAGAAGCATACCATTTGGTCGTTTGTGCATTGTGTGGCACTGAACATTTGGTCATCCTATTGTCTTCAGATATAACATGTACGTACCTAGCAAAGCATAAGCAACTAAGGTGATGGGAAACGGGGAGGACGCGTGTGCGGAGAGTGTACCACACCGTGGCCAGAGAAGAAGGCCCAGTCGTTCCCGGCCGCGCATATCGTCGAACAGCTCGCGGACTTGCCGGCCATCATCCATCTGACCATCTCATGCCAGAAGTGCTAGTTCTAAGCCATGCAACTACGCCAGTCGCAAGAGCGCCGCCAGCCCCCGCCGAGAGCCGCGCGCCGGATGGGGCTGCCGCAGTGCCGCGCGGTGCAGCGCGGTTTGATTGTGGTTTGTGACCAAAGGGTCGGCGCACTCACAGCTGTATTTTAAGTTTTTAACCGACTTGCCACCGATGCTCCTTTTTATGAGCCCAACATGGCAACGTCCATGAAGGTGTCCTAAAATCCAAGAAGACACTAGTGAACTTTCTGACGTCATACTCTATTTTTCTAAATTACAGTGTTCGAATTTAGGGGCTTCATTAAAAAAAATGTTTTGTAGAATCGAGATACATAACTATAAGATTCTTTTTGAAGCCAACATATATATATAAACAAGAGTAAACACATTTGGCGGTCATTTAAATCATTTAGATCCATATACTTCTAAATCATTACTTTTAGGTCTTTAAGCTCACTAAATGTATCATCACACATCAGTGGTCTAAACTGGCTCAAAATTGTGTGTGCCACTTGCCATGGCGGAATTTTTACTGTGCCCATTTCCATTTCACACACATGCATTGTCCCAACCCAAAGCCGGTGGAGGTGATGAAGTTGGTGAGGAGTGAGGTGGAGGGGGATGAGGCACGACATCTCGTCAGAGTTGAGCGGCACCAGTAAGGTGCACAAGCGCAACTGGTGGTGGTGAAGCCAAAACCAGCTAGAATCAGTGCGATAGTGAAACATGGCCCCCAGGTTTTAGCTAGAAAGTGAGCCGCTAATGGAGTATGGTGGGTGCCTTGGTGCCCTAATCGCTCAAGCGTCTTAGGAAATTTAGTTGTCTAAGTTGTTTGTTTGGTATCATCTAGTGTGGTGCTTGAGTATACGAACGATCTTTACGCTTTTGATGATCTAGTAGAAATTTTGGATTTAGTATAAATTAGTTGTGTATTAAAGTATGTTCATGTACAATGTAGCTCCCGACTACAACAAGAAATGGAAAGAATAGTAGAGAAATTAAGTGTGAAGTGGACAACAAAAATGGCGGAAGATTTCCCACTCATTCCACTTAGATGTCAATGTGGTAGTTCTGTAGTCCATGGCTTCATTATGCAGCACATACAAGCGGGTTTAGACTATTGATGGTACATTTAGCAAGCTTAACGTCTCAAAAATAGCAATTTGAAATTATATAAAACTAGTTAAGAACCACCAGCAAATCATAGAGTTTGTGTTGTCTCACTCAAGAAGACCATGTAGCATGCATCACCAAGATACCCACAATTAGCTTTTTGTTAAGATCAAGTATCAAACCAACATAACAGTATGTAGCTCATTAGCATCGCTGAAACTTTGTCCACTTAAATTTGAATCTTCGATTAATCGATAACTTTTACTTTTGCTACGCCTAATCTTCCACAGGTTACGTACGTGCGTGACATAAAAATTTGCCATCGAAAATCCGGTGTTCACGCAGCACGAATCTCCAAGGTCATACCGGACGATTGTGCGAGGCGTGGGCGCACCACGTGCACGCAGCTGACCGCAGGGATTTGTGTGGTCCGCGCCTCCCTTCCACGACGCTCCAGCGGCATCCGCCCCTTCGTCGTCGTCGCGCCGATTGGCATTGGCTGTCCCCTCCTGCTCCTCCTCATCAGTCCCGTCCCAATCATGGTGGCCTGGTGAGAGACCCTTCCGTCCGGCCAGCCGTCTTCTCCAGCGAGGGAAGAAAATGAACTGCTTCTCTTGCTGCGCCGCCGCCGTTACGTCTCCTCCGGTGCTTCTCGGCAGGCCGCGGGTGAGCGCGCTCTTGCCCCCTTATCCCCACCGCCGCATCATCCTTTTTCCTTGTTTGCCAGCGCGCTAGACGGAGAGCAGAGCAAGGTATCCGGCCGTCTTGCGCCGAGTTCTTCAAATGCCTAGCCCTAGGTCCTTGCTACCTTGTTTTTAAGATATTACTAGGGACTGTGGGCATCAATGGTCCCATGGTCTAGCGGTTAGGACATTGGACTCTGAATCCAGTAACCCGAGTTCAAATCTCGGTGGGACCTATTTTTTTCAACCTTTTTTTCCTCATTCATTTTGCTGAAATCAGACTGACCAGCACACTACAATATCAAAAGATGGAAATGAAATCAGTAATTTTGATTTTAATTTTTGTTTTGTTTCCTGTCATTTTTTTTCCACGAACGCGCAAAAAAACACGTATTTGTTTAAGAGGAAAAAAAAGACGACCTGAACCACGCTTATGGTGCATTCCCCAGCAACGCCAGAAGCAGTGGGTTTAGCTGATTTTTTTCGTCATCCATTTGGCTCATATCAGACTGACCAGCACAACGCTACAGTATCTAAAGATTGAAATGAAATCAGTAATTTTGATTTAAAGTTTTTGTTTTGTTCCCTGTCATCAGGGGGGTTTAGCTGCTAGCTGCTGCACGAGAACAGATCAGAAGGTGCTTTTCCTCGGCTCAAAACAGTTTCCACAGATCACATACAGCCCAGTAAGCCGTGCGTCGCCACGGTTGTCACGGAGTGAGGTAATAGCTTTTGCTGGGCAACAACCTTGGGACCTCGGTAGGTTTTTCAAGACATTGTACTTCTTCAACGGGCCTCCAAACCCTCTCAAGGTTCTATCACTAACTTCTGAGTTTTCTGTTTGCTTTCATGTTACATTCAAATTGAGTTTGAGATATGATGTCTCCAAGTCTTGATGCTTTTTTTTCGATTCGTAGATTGTAGAATCTATCATCAGCAGTTTCACTGGACCTGCTTCTAGTGAAGCGCCGAAGAAAATGGAAACATCGAATGTGGTGCTGGTTACGGGAGCCACTGGTGGTGTTGGGCGACGGGTGGTCGACATCCTGCGGAAGAAGGGCGTACCTGTTCGAGTATTGGTATTCTACTGACAACCATACTCACTTTGGCCTTTAACATTTTTCCATTTTTTGTATGAACAATTCCTATAGTCCTTATGGCATCTGTTCCATTTTTCGAGTTCAGGCTAGAAATGGAGACAAGGCAAGGAGCATGTTGGGGCCGGATGTAAATCTGGTAGGTCACTTATTTTAGTTGAATTATTACTGCTGTGCTATGAGATTTTATTTCAGCAACTGCACTTCCTTTTTTTTTTACGCAAAACTGCACTTCTGCCCCTACTTCAAAGCCACCAAACAAATTCTTGAAGTGTCATAGCTACGAAGGATTTGCATCCCAATAGCATTACCTGATACCTTTTTTTAGATAAAGGCAGTTTATTGCCAAGAGAAATAAGGTTCCCCAAAGAATTATTTTTGGCAGTGCTCAATGCTGGCCTACAGTTACACGCCTGACATAAATGCTTCTGCTACATGTTTCAAACCTGTCTGTTGGTAGGAAAGGTAACTATGGAATTTGATGATATCATATGGCGACCAAAATTTAGGTACATATTTGATATTTCTGACATTTTATCTGAAGGACAAAACAAAAGAATGTGCAAGGACAGGCTGAAATATGATTTTACTCCTTATATCAGTGCCTGTGGTTCATGCTATTATCTATATGATGTTAAGTACTCACCTTCAAAGAATCATGTCATCAAAGCTCCATATTTAGAGTTACAAACTTACTGCGTGCTTCAGATCATAGGAGATGTTACAAAGGAAGATACACTTGATCCTAAGCTCTTCAAAGGGATAAAAAAAGTAGTCAATGCAGTCTCTGTCATAGTGGGGCCAAAGGAAGGTGATACACCGGACAGGCAGAAGTACAAACAAGTACGTCATATGCTCAATAGTATGATATGTGAAGAATTTATGCACTCTGCCATCTGGCTACATCAGTGTGACACTTCAGTCTTGAATTCATGCAGGGCATTAAATTTTTCGAACCTGAGGTAGGGTATCAGAAATTCTTCACATGTATAATATGTAGCACCTGGTTCTCCTAAAAATTACAGCTCTTGCTATGTGACCCCAAGCTCACAACATTAGATGTTTCTCCAATCAGATCAAGGGACCTTCACCTGAAATGGTTGAGTACATCGGAATGCAAAACTTGATTAATGGCATAAAGAATAGTGTTGGACTGAGTGAAGGGAAACTGCTTTTGGGCTCAAAGGTATACCTTTCATTGCCTTATTTTCCTGATCAAATTAAAAATCTTTGTTATACTCATTTTCATATATGTAATCTGGCACTACTATGTGTGCTGAAAACCCAAGTGTGTCCACAAGCATATGGGCCTGGGATCATGTAATCCTGTTCCCATATAGTTGATAATTGATCATTTGGCTATTGTTGCATAGCATATTACTAGTACATCCTTTTGGTATGAAAACTTAATTGTGAGATGGAAACTAATCAGGAGATTACAACCAATCAATCGTAACTAATCGTATCCTACCATAACAGCCAGGTCCTTCGTTTCTCAATATGTACTATAACATTAAGTAAATCCGTTTTTTGCTAATTATGATTGTTTTATTTCATGTAAATGTATTTATTTACTTTTTATGAGTTTATTTTCCTTAACAGCTAGCACAATAATCTCATTTTTATGTAGGCAACTTATCTGGAAAGATTGTGTGGGGAGCTCTTGATGACGTTGTAATGGGTGGTGTTAGTGAAAGTACATTCCAAATCCTGCCAACAGGAAGTGAAAGTAGTGGACCAACTGGGTTGTTCAAAGGTATTTTATTTTTATTCACTGAATTTTGGATATGAGATTGTTCCATTTGCTTGAAATGATGGTATTGTAAGCTGATAACCTGTGGATAATCTACCTTCCTTGTAGGAACTGTATCTACTTCAAATAACGGTGGGTTTACTAGTATAAGGACAAAGGTAGTTACTTCCATGAAATTCTGAGGAATAAAATTACTGCTAGGCATTTAAAATTACTGCTAGGCATTTAAATCCTGCTCTGTTTCATGCAAATAAATGAAATTGGTTTCTTCCATCACAAGCAAGTGTAATTTTGTAGACACCTAATAACTTATACTCCCTCCAGTTCCATAATCTTTGTAGTTTTTGGACAAAATTGAGGTTAAACTTTTAAAACTTTAGCTACTGATAACTTAATATTGAGTTTGATGATGCTAAGACAACATGAATAGATTAGTATGTTGATTTTTTGTATATATGGACCATTCCAACTTATAGTTCCATTTAGATTTCTCCTAAATCAAACTTCTCTAATTTTGACCAAGTTCTTAGATAAATATGTTAACATCTAGTTCAAATAAATGCGTTATCAAGACCTATTTCATGGAAAATTTAATGAAACTAATTAGATGTCATAGATGCTGGTGCATTTTTCAATAAACATGGTCAAAGTTAGAGATGTTTGAGTTAGGACAAAGCTAAAGTGACTTATAATTTGGAATGAAGGGAGTATTATAATAGGAAATCTGCATCAAAGATATGTTTTGGAGACCGTGTCGTAGTTCAAAATGACAAGAATTATAGAACTTGAGGGAGTAACTCTATTACATATTTTTATTTATCAATGTATACTATTTATACTGATGTTACATTGCTAACAGTATGATACTTTACTTGAATGGCAGAATTTTACTGTGCCAGAGGACCTGTCAGCATATGATGGTATTGAGTTACGAGTTAAAGGTGATGGACGACGGTATAAACTCATTATACGGACTAGCTATGAGTGGGATACTGTTGGCTATACAGCAAGTTTTGACACAACTAAGGGGGAATGGCAAAGTGTATGTCATATCATGCTGTAAATATCTTCATAATTTGTTTCAGCAACTTAGAACTATGTTCTTATTCCTGGATCAGGTTAAAGTACCTTTCTCTTCTCTGAGACCTGTATTCCGTGCTCGTACTATGACTGATGCTCCACCCTTCGATGCAAGCAACATTACTTCACTACAAGTAGCACTTCTTCCTTTTTATTTCCTTCATCAGTAAACATTTGAAGAATTGGTAAACTCTCATCTAAAGTTGATGTGACAATTTTTGTAGCTTATGTTTAGCAAATTTGAATACGATGGAATACTCAACCCAACATTTACTGAAGGTCCATTTGAGCTTCCTTTTTCGAGTATTAGAGCATACATAAACGAGCCAATCACTCCAAGGTTTGTTTATTACTAGTTTTCAGGCAATGACACCAGTACACAGATACATATAGCCACTTCATTTTTCAGTTTCTTTTTGGAACCATTTAGGACTAACTGGGCTTGCTTTTCTTTTGTATGAAGGTTCGTTCATGTGAGTTCTGCAGGAGTTACAAGACCTGAAAGACCGGGGCTAGATTTAAGCAAACAGCCACCTGCTGTTCGATTGAACAAAGAGCTTGGTTCCATTTTAACTTACAAGTTGAAGGCATGCTCACTGTCTTAAACACATCTTTATATAAAAAACTGTCTCTCGTTCTTACTAAAGATGAATGCTTTTTTATTTCTCCTGACATAAAAATCACAATTGCACATTTTTTTGTACTGCAAATAAACCATCAATATGCATCTAATAAGTACTTAAAATATAGACTGAGCAACTGTGCTGCTCATTTTTTCATGTTGGTTATCTTGGAACCCCTATATAACGTCTGAGGTGGCTTTTCAGGGAGAGGATTTAATTCGGGAAAGCGGTATTCCGTACACTATTGTGCGGCCATGTGCATTAACTGAGGAACCGGCTGGAGCCGATCTCATCTTTGACCAGGGGGACAACATTACAGTATGTATTGGAAGCACCGTCATCCTGATATCCCAATTCCCAATGTGCTCTACTGCTCTTCCTTCCCACAAAATTGATTTAATAACATTCTTGAAACATCTCAGGGAAAGATATCAAGGGAAGAAGTTGCCCGTATTTGTGTAGCAGCTCTGGCAAGCCCAAATGCAGTGGGCAAAACTTTCGAGGTTGAATCCTGTAACTTGTATTAGGGCAGAACTTATTGTCAACTATCTTTAGAGACAAAGCTAATGGTGGTAATTCTTATGATCAGGTCAAGAGCACTGTTCCATTTAGCGAACCATATGTGATTGACCCTTCAAATCCCCCGTCTGAAAAGGACTATGAAGTATATTTCAAAGAACTCAAAGAAGGTATCACGGGTAAAGAGGCATTAGAGGCAATACCTTCTCAAGTTTGAAGATACCATTGAATGAAGAATTACATCTGCTTTCATAAATTCTGATACAGTAACCCCCACTCTGAATGTCTTAAGCCATCTAGAAAGATAGATGACACTAATGCTAAATTTTGTAGTTGAAGATCACACGAATAAACTAGATGATGTTACCCCGCGCATTACCTCGGAAATTTGTAGTGTTGTATATCTATTTGACATTTGGTGAAACATAAATAAATACATAATGAATTTTATTGTGGTACGTACAAAAGTCTGGAATCGTATATGGAAGTCGCTAGTAAACAATGACAAAAGCCAGGTTATAGAGGCAGCCTTCTTGCCTCGGCAACGGTTCGATGTGTCCGCGTCATCCTCACCATCTTCCTCGCGGGGGTGCGGTGGCTTTGCCCTTGTTGTCGAAGTTTGCCAGAATGGCATCCTCGCCCGTGGCGTATCGGATGCCGATATCCAAGAGCTCCTGCGTCATTCGTGGGGCCTCGTGCCCGAGCGTGTGAACGAGTGCCTCACACGTGGTGCCGCAAGTGAAGGCGTTGATGACGTTGGCTTCGAAGCGCTCTCTTCCGGAGGCGGCATCTGCTATGACGGCCTTGAGTTAGTGGCGTTGTGGCGCCGGGACAGCGAGTTGGCTTTTTTTTTGAGGGCGATGTTCAGGAAGTGCCGAGGCTCTCGGATCTTTTCATTGGTCTCCGGGTCCGGTGTGTCCGGGATGTCGCCCAGATAGCAGGCAGCGACCGCCATGTTGTGCATTGTATGAGGGAAGCGAGGCGAGCTTGGAGCCCTCGCGTCATTGTTGATGTCCCGCTGGACGCTACGCGCGGGTGTGTGCGCTGCTGGCTTGCTGGCACTCCATCTCCTCCCGCTTCAACTTGAGCTTGATGTGTTTGCCCTCCAGGTTAGCCTGTCGGCCCCAGAGGCGCTCTGCCTTCTCTCGTTGTTAGGCGCCCTGCTGGGTCAGAGTTAGGTCCGGAGGCATATCTTCAGGCTCGTCGGTGTGTGGAAGCTCTCCGTGGATGCAGTAGCACTCGCGTGCCAGGTGGTAACTTTCTGCTTTGTTAGAGTCGTACTCCGAGGAAGGTAGCAACGAGTTTGGGGTGTTTTTGGTTTGCTAATCTAGAGTTCAATCCTTTCTGTAGGAGCCCATGCCCTCGCTTTATTTAGCGGAGGGTGATAGGAGTACAAGTTACGTGGTTGCGGGGGTTTTACCTAGGGTCTCTCATCCTAGGCTTCGGTTCCTCTTTGGCGGCATCATACGCCCTCCGTTGTCTTGTAGCAGGGGCCGACAATGTTCCAACTACCCCCTAACATCTTCTACCACTACCTAGAGCTGGCCGACAATGTTCCAACTAGTCCTCCTGTAACATCTTCTACCACGTACCCTCTAGAGCTGGCGGAGAAAACAGTCCTCAGAGAGCATGTTGTCTCGCTGCATTGCTGCTGGATGCCTAATAGATTTCCATATTCCGAGTTGGAGCGCTCAAGCCAAGGCCGGGGCGACGTGGCGATGCTTGCTTTGACAGACACCCCAGGTCCACTTCAGAGCCCCGGGCGATGGCACCAAGATTCCTCTTCTACACGGGGATGCTGCCATGTGGGCCCGGAGTCCTCCAACTAATTTGGAGAATCATAATATTGTGGCCTTAGAGTCCTTTTGTCATGACATCGCCGGAGTGATGGGTGCTAGTTTTTGCACGTCCAACTCGGCCGGATGCGTAACCCGTTGTCTCCTTTGGATTCTTTTATCGCCTCCATGTGTTGCGCTTTGCGTGATGTCGGAAAAACAGGCCCTCGGTGATGGTTGAGGTTAGGGAGAAGTACTAGACGACACTTCTCCTTGAATGCATCCACTCCATCCTACCCTACTAGTTTTCTTTGTGTAAAAACCTTACATATTTTTGAGCCAACGACAACGACGCTTTTAGCATCATGACCTTCTTGAAGGTATTGTGGTGGGAATCTTGTGTCATGTTCGGTGCCTCATTTGGTTGTGATAGTGGTTGGCAAGGAGAACCTTGGTGATATACTTCTGTCTTTTCTAGCCATTTTTGGACTAGGGTGGCAACTTGGTGCTTTGATGAGTCTTTGTCTTATAGCTTGAGACATTGCTGATGTCCGTCGATGTGATGCCAAAGCTACTTTCTAGTGGTAAGCTTGGCAACGATAGTAGTCATGACGAACTCCATCACATGTTAGTAGTTGGAGATGGTGCTACATGGTTTAGTTTTGTAAGTAGTGGTTGTATGGCTTTTGGGCTTAGTTTCTCCCATAAATTGGATCAATTCACTTCTTATTAATATATACCAGAACAAAATGCACTTGTATCTTTAAAAAAATGCTCTTACAAGTAGCATACTAGCATAAGCATGATATACTTTAGAAGTATCGATAGAATATAGAGATGAATAATCACATAATCCATCTAAGTGTCATTCTCCTTACCAGTAATGCATACATGCGAACTGTGCGTGTATAGGTCCCTTGGGACTTAGGATCAGCTTCGCAAAATGCTTATAGTTCTATAGAATTTGCCAAGTGGAACCTGTATGACAAGAATAGCAACTGCAAATCCAAGTCCGAATCCCAATCCAACAAACATAAATAGAGTTATATCGACATGATCTTGCGGCATTTTTGGTTTCAACTCATTTGGCTGAGGTGAACTGGCACATTGTCTGCTCAAGGGTGCTCCACAAAGGCCTATGTTACCTTCAAATGAACTGTTCTCAAACGTTCCAAATTGGCGTGATTGTGGAATCCTCCCTTCCAAATTGTTGTTAGACAAATCCAGGGTTTCAAGAAATGTGAGATTTGCTAGCTCTTGTGGTATCTCCCCAGAAAGGTGGTTCCATGACAGGTCTAGTGATTCCAGCTGGCTCACCTTGCCTAATTGGGGAGGAATATTTCCTGTGAATGCATTGTGTGACATATTCAATATGTGTAGTGAAACAAGGTTTCCGACCAAATCTGAAATGGTACCATTGAGTTTGTTATTTGAAAAGTCGATTGAAGTTAAGGTTGTCAATATCCTTTCAAATGTCATGGATCGTCCCTTAACTGTTATTGCAACAGTATCTTGGTAATATTGGTTGGATGCAGAATGACCCAGGATCTGTCCAGTGTTATTCATCTTCTCCATCATAGATTTAAACATCTTGAACCATTGTGGTTTCACAATGCCAGAGAAATTTGTTTGAGGCAATATCAATTATTTGTATCATCGAGAAGTACCCCCGGAAATTTCCACTTCTGAAAGGGTCATCTAGTGTGCCATAGAATTGATTGGATCTTAATACAAGGACACGAAGATTGGAAAGGTTGCCAAGCCAAGATGGGAAAACATCTACAATTTTATTGTTTCCAACGTCAAGAACCTCCAAATCAGTGCATTTAGAAAGAGCCCTCGGCAACTGTCCTTGAATGTTATTTCCATTTATATTTATTGTCTGTAGATCACATTGGCTATTAATATTATAAGGCAACTCTCCTTCGAAGTGATTCCCCCTCAAATTCAATATACTTAAGTTGCCATCTTCTATCAGGCAAGATGGAACCTGCCCTCTGAAGTTGTTATTTTCCAGGTCAAGGACTTTAAGATAAGTTAAATTGCAAATTGAGGGTGGTATATAGCCTGTGATGTTATTGTTGGATATCTTGAGATACACAGTTTGGCTAAGATACAAAGTGAAGTTTGACATAATAGATGTGAATCTGTTATTGGAATAATCCAAGACTTGTTCTGAATTGCTAACCATCGTCAACATGTTTGGGATTGGGATCTAGCCCTGGATTCTGTTGGAACTCAAATCAAGAGATTCCAAATTACTGTTAGGGAGAACATATGAAGTGAGCTGCAAATATGTGAACGCATTGTTCGAAAGATTCAAATTTGTAAGGCTATGGTCCCATGTTTGCCATATCCAATTTGGAATAGTCCCAAGTATCTTGTTGCAGGAAAGGTCCAGTTTAGTGATATAATCAAGGTGTACCAAGAAACTAGGAATTTCGGTCAAGCCACATGACTTCAGTTCTAAGTCAAAGAGTTTTGGTAATAAAGGGAATGTGGAGTTACTTCCTTGTCCATCCTTGATATAGAACTTGTTGTCGGATAGACTCAACACAGAAAGCTTTCTTAGTTTCCAAAAAGAGTCAAGGTCTACCAAACCTGTCAGGTTATTTGAGCTGAGATCCAAAACAACCAAATTTATGAGGTGGAAGAGCGATAAAGGAATATTTCCGCTGAGTTTATTGTCATTTAAACTAACAATTTCCATGTCTGATGATATTGTATGAAACTCTTGTATGGGTCCACAAAGTTGATTCAACGAAAGATCCAATTGTAATAATGATGGTAAAGTGAATAGAAATGTCGGCACATCCCCTGCAACAAACTCAAGGGTGGTCTATGTTAAGTTCGTGTTCAGAGAACAAAGTGCATATTCTGTGAAAAATTAGTAATTAAGAAAATGAGACAGCTTTTCTAGGGACTGTCAAGAACATCAAAACGAACTAACAATAACAATTTGCACATAATTTTGTATACTCCATTCTTTCATCAAATAGCATGGAAAGAACTCATTCTGTGTTTCTGAAGTTTGTGTAGGCTGTCCATCTTCATTTTTCCCAGCAGAACACTACCATTCATTTTTTTTCTTAGATAAAGAAATTTTTATTGATGTTAGACATTATATATATAAAGGTAATACAATCAAACCAATATCACTCCAGGCCTCTGCATAAAATAGTGGCATGACATCTATCAAACCACAACAAGCAACAGCGACATTGTAGAAACAAAACTGTTGGGATGATTTGTGTAGGTGGGCTATAGGAGCATGGGTTGATGAACTAGTTACTAAAATAACAATAGGGATTATAAGTTGGTCCTCCCTTACCGAAACTTTCATGGTGTTAAGTTGGTCCTCCCTTACCGAAACTTTCATGATGTTATGTAATACCCCGAGAACAAATGTCATAAATATGAATTTTAATATGGATTAGGTGTTTTTTATAGAAGGTTGACTGGGCACTTTAAAGAGAGGCAAAAGTTGACTTTTTTTTTATAAGTTGTTAGATGGTTTATCGGAGGTCGTGAATGCGTAGAGCTTGTCTAATCGTTTCCGTTTGACTATTCATATGCTTTAATGAGAGTTTGGATTGCGGAGTTACGCTTGTCGCAAGTCCTGACATGGAAAAGGAAACGTGCTCCAGTAACAGTAACGCGCGGCTACAGTAACCATACATCTACAGTACCAGTGGCTGTTGCAATTGTTGAGTTGGACTTCCGTGCGTCTGCCACCCCTGTCCAACCCTAGCAGCCAGATCTCTGTACACGAAAAGAAGAAAGAGAGAAGGAAGAGAGGGACTAGGGCATGCCATCGTCGCCGCTCATCCCGCCGTTCTTCCCTAAAACAGGTTTGACATAATCTCCTCTCTCAGTTTTCCCCATCAATCTCTCATTCCCCTCGCTGTCCATGATGAATTTGACACGTTTGGAGTAGATTGTGGCGGCGAGAGAGTTGAAACGGCAAGAATCGTCGTGCGGTGGAGGAGGGAAGAAGGGAAGAGGAGTAGACGCAGGGTGTTTCATCGGTGTTCTTGCTGTGGTTGCCCTAGGTGAGATGCCAAATCATGATCCAATTCTTTTGATGAAGTTTCATGGATTAAATCACTTGTTTAGATGTGGTTTAGTTGGAGCAATCCTTGAAATTAATTTCTTCCATGTTTTGAAATCTCGTCAGACTGAGCATTCTCTGTTAATATTTATTTTCGTGTATTTTAGAGGCCTTAATAAATTTTGTGACTGTGGACAAAGTTGTAGAGGACTTCAATTCCTTTGTTGTGACACCAAGAAGATGACCATAGCCTCTGTATTTTGGGTTTTATCATTGTTACAAGGTGACTATTTTTCAGTAACGAAAATCTAGACAGATTTAGATCTAATCAGTTTATGACCCTCTTAGTGGCATAAGTTCATCATTTGATAGGAACAAAAGTTGTAGACTTTTTATCATGCTTTCCATATTAGTAAAGTACATAATTTTTGGATGAGCATATCTCCAGTTTTGAATTTTTGAAGTTGTATGTCATGTTTTGGTCGACAGAAGAGTTCAGTTAATGGTTATTTAGGCCATCTTGGAGACTTCGTATGCAAAACCCTATAATACCAAAGATGTAGATAATATAGTTTTGTATGATCTGGTGGATTTTTAGAATTTTTGAATGTTTGGTTTAATGTGTACGAAAAAGAGAAGGGACAGTGTCATGAATAGTAGCAAATGGTAGATGCTTAAACGTCGGGTACGAGGCGCTATTGTGCTTTTTGTTGTACTTGTTTGTATGACAGTGTTGGTACTTAGTATTAATTGTGATCAAGTGGTTTGCTAATGGAGTGTGCCCAACTCTTTGATCGATCATCGGTAAAGGCAAGTAAAAGTGGCGTTGTGGTCCACTATGCTTTAACTTTGTAGTTTGAATTGTCTTCATTAAAGTTCAGTATCTCACACTAGCAAGATAAATCTAAAATTTGAAGTATTTATATCTATTTACTCTTAAGTATTCTATTTTATACCTTGTGGTAATGATCATTAAATTATGAACTCTGAAGTTTATTAACTGCATTCATGGCAACATTGTATTTGCATTCTTCCTGTTGATATGCATAAAACAAACCATAGCCGAATTGGTGCGGCAAGTACCAGTACAACAACACACGTGATAAGCAATGTGGTTGCCAGCAATGCACGTTGATAAGCAATGTGGTTGCCAGCAACGCACATTGATAGGCAAGGTGGTTGCAGCCGTTACTCCCTCTCCTTAGGATGTGTGGGTAGAAGTGAAGAGCATTGTATTGCATCATCTGCATTGCACTTGGAAGTATATTTATATTTCTATAAAGTAATTGATGTCTTTATTATTATACTATTTAAATTTGATGCTTAATCATACTGTAATTTAAATAACATGGTTGAAGTAGTTTTCTGGCTGAGGTTTTCATAAACCTCACACGCTTGTTCCCCCATCTCAGGTACGTGAGCTTCAAGGATGCTTTGTCACGATGGGAGTAGCAGCATGTGTGCACACTTATTGGCATATAATTGAAACCAACACTTTTGTTACGACAAATTAGTTGGTTGTCGGAGGTTTTCTATGCATTGTAATAAACACCTTGGGTTTGCTAGCTGTCTTTGAAGATGCCTTTGTTTATGTCATCGTAGAAGACTTAATTTAATGCTCAACTTAGATCACTTTGTTGCCTCCACGTTCTCTAATGATGTGTTCTTGTTAGATTGTAGTGTGATAATACTTCAAAAGGATATTTTTGTTTTTTGTTTTCTTTTAGGGTGTTACATGTTACTCATTGGCAGAGCCAAGGGGAGCCGGCAGGGGCCATGGTCGCCCTAACAAATCAACAATATTTTTTTACATAATCTAGAGTGTAAGGGACCGTGACGCCTAAGAGGGGGGATTAGGCAACTTAAAAATCTACTCTAAACTATAGCCTCTAATTTCACCCTAGCAAAACCTATGCAAAAAGGTAATCTATCTAAATCTGCAACTACGGTTTTGCTAATGTGTTGCTATCTCTACCGTAAAAGAGTCTTGTACCCTATTGAACTACAAAACAATTACTTTTAATTCATTAGTCTAATTTGGTTGTGTTGGTCATCGAACACCAAAATCCAAAGTAAATGGGCATAGAGTCCATTTTCCTTACATATAGTTTAATATCAATATTTATATCAAGAAATATATAGACAATAAAATCCCACAAAACACATTAGAATAAAATATTTTAATTTTAATCAATCTAAATTTGATTGCCTACCATATCAGGATATATTTAATAAAATTTTAGGTTTTGCTAAATGCATACTTGCATTTCATTATATTTTATATTTTACTAAACGCATACTTAACCAATAGGAATAACAATTTGGTGGTGATCAATAGTTTATCGGCATAAGTTTATTGAGCGGCACTATTATTATTGTACCGACTCACTTTTTACTATAATCGCACTACATATGTAGACACTTATATGCATGCACACACACTCACCCCTATAAACAAACACATATTCTGCCTCACTATGAGAACATTCGAAATACTAATCTAGTAGATTTCAAGATTCCTAAGTCACCATATGCGTCTCGCTGTCAACAAATACAATTACATACCACAGTAAATTAGCATTGTTAAATTGTTAAATACCATAAATCTAGAATAATATGAGCAACTACAATGATGATTAATGGTCAAGTTCCACCACAAGAACATAAGTAAATGAGCTACATTCATTTCGCATATATACTTCAAATTTCTTTCACCGCCTCCCCCTATGTATAATTCCTGGCTCCGCACAAGGTGCTACTAGACCTATTAACTACACCCACACCCACATGGGCCTTACTATAGGATATTAGGCCAAGGTATTACAAATTAGGATAAAGATTAGGGGTTTCTTTATAATATTTTTCTTAATGCCAGGTATGAGTAAAAACTATAATATAGATATAGATTTAGAGGCTACTTTATGTTATTTTAGTGATAGAGGTTGGTAATCTAGATCTAGATTTTAGTGGTTACTTTAAGCTAAAGAGAAAATTTCCTATTTGACACTAAAAAACTTCCGCTTTCCTATTTGACACCCAAAATTTAAATCTTTCCTATTTGTCATCCCTTTTACTTTTTTCTTTCCTATTTGACACTTCCATCATTTTAGAGCTCTAACGGTGTTAAGTCTCAGATGAAAAGACCATTTGCCCATGTTGTTTATTTCCTATCATGTTGTTTCCTTTTGCTGGCTATTGCTATTTTTTTTGTATTTTTATGTTTCTTCAAATGAAAAAATAAAAACTAAAAAGTTTTAGATCTCATCGAGAGTCTTACAACTTTCGTACAAAAAGTATTTTTATCCGTACAAGAAAAATATGATTTTTCTAAGAAGACAAGCCCTGGTAAGCGATTAATATGCGGCTAAAAATTTATATTTTTTAGCATCATAAAGACCTCAAATGGAAAAGCCAAAAACTAAAAAGTCATAGATCTCATCGAGAGATATAATTTTCATATAAAAAGTATCTTTACACAACGCTATACAAGAAACATATGACTTTTCTAAGGCTACAAGCTCCCGATTAATATGCTACTGAAACTTTATATTTTGTTAGCATCTTAACGATCTTAAATGAAAAAGCTCAAAACTAGAAAGTTATAGATCTCATTGAGAGGCTAAAAGTTTCATATAAAAATTATCCTCGTCCGACGTCGTATGAAAAAGATATAATTTTGCTAAGGTAGAGCGTTGTACTCTATTTGCTCAAGGGCATTTTAGTCCTTTTCTATTGGCTCATGAGGAGAGTTAACGGTGCTGGTTAATGGAGTTAATGGAAGTTTCAAATAGGTAAGAAAAAATAAAAGATGTGACAAATAGGAAAGATTCAAATTTGGGTGTCAAATAAGAAAGCAGCCGTTTTTAGTACCAAATAGGAAATTTTCTCTTTTCCCAATATTTTTGAGAAAATATAATAGAGCTTGTGTATTATTATTAATTAGAGTTTCTAGAATTAATGGTCGGATGATTTTTTTGTGAGATTTTTTTAAATTATCTTTTTTCTAACATGTCTCATAAGGATTAACACCTCTAATGCGTAATAGTAAGATAGAGATAATAAAGAAAGAAATATTTAAGAACAAAAAATGTCATATGTTATTTATGACAAAATTTGCCATGGGTTCATGTATGTTAATGGTTCTAACATATAATCTCATTTGATGCATAATTCACAAATTATAAGGTATAATGTGATAGTTGGATTTTGAATCTTACCGACAAGGTCATTCTGTGAAAGGTCCAGAAAAATCAGTTTAGTCATGTTGGCAATTGTATTTGGTATTCTCCCAGAAAAGCTGCAATCTCTAAGTATTAATACTGCCAACTTGTTGAGATGTCCAATTGCCGGTGTTATAGGGCCAGATAAACCATGATAATCATAGGATATTTGCAGGAATCTTAAGTTTCTGAGATTGCCAACGGAAGAGAGTAATTGAACCGAGAAAGCACAATCAGAGATTGCCAAATATTCCAATGTCGTGAGGTTGCCAATTGAATGTGGAATTGGCCCAATGAAATCACAATACCTGATATCCAAGCTTCTCAAATTGGTGAGGTTTCCAATCCAGGAGGGCATTGTCTTGGTGGAGTAACAATCAGACAGTTTCAATGTTGTCAAGCTCTGGAGATCACCAATCCATGAGAATTTTGACCCTACCTCCCATGAAAAATTTATCGAAGAGAGTCGCAAGGTACTAATATGGTTCAGCTTGTTTATAAAAAAATAGGGAGGCTCCGTAAAAATTGATCTTCCATCTATTCCCAGATCTGTCAAAGATGTGAGATTGACAAAGTAGCTCAGAGTGACACCAGAGAAAAGGGTATCCTGCAGATTCAAAGTTTCCAGGGAGCTCCCATAGAGAAATTTTGGAACATTCCCCGATAGCTGTTCGTTATTTGACACATCCAGTACTCCCAGATTCTTCAGCTGAAAGATTTTGGGAGGAAAGCTGCCTCTCAAATTATTAAAGCTGAGTTGAAGAACTCTTAAATTGAGAAAATCTGCAAAGAATTCTGGAACCACCCCGGAAATTCCATTCAGTTTGAGATTGATCACTTCAATAGAGCGGAGAAGTGACATGGAGTAATGGATAGGACCAACAAGCCTGCAATATGCCATGCTAAGAACCTGAAGATGAGGAACATATTTTCCAAGCGTTCTGGCCCAGTCTTCTCCGCCACTAGCTATGTCCACTCCGTCAAGGTAGAGCTCTCTCAAATTTGTGAGGTTTGACACTAGTGTCTCGAAACTTGGTTCTTGTAGGACCAAAAGGCTATAGCTGTCGAAAACATTATAGAGTGTGTCTATTTCACCACCATCAATGTAATGGATTGAAGAAATATCCAAGGATATGAGACTCGAGAGTTTGCCTATTACAATGGGAATCTGTCCATAGAAACCTGAGTAAGAAAGGTTAAGGTGTGTGAGTACCGAAAGCCTCTCAAAGCCAGCTGCCGGAATACATGATCCACCAAAGTCATTCTTGCTCAGGTCGAGTCGCTGGAGCGAGGTGAGGTTGAAGAGCGCTCTGTCAAGACTGTAGCTGTACAAGCCACGGCCACTGAGGTCAAGAACGGTGACTTGGCCAGAGACACTGTCGCAGCCAACACCCTCCCAGAGGCAGCAGTCAGTGGCTGCTTCCCATGAAGGAAGGGTGTTGGTGGAGTAGTCGAAGAGGAAGGATTGCTTGAGCTGGAGGAGTGCTGCAGCATGGTCTGGATGGCACGAAGGGGCTGTGAGGTTGCCATAGGAAGTGGATGAAGCTAGTGAACGGAGGTGTATCAGTACTACGAAGAGGGGAAGGAGATAAGTAGCACGAGCCATCATTCTCCTTGCAGTTCAGAACAAAAGGAAGACAATACAGTTCTATATATATATTAGAGATGGACGCATCCAAAGCTATCCCATTCATTATGCACCACCCACAGACCACAGTGGTCCACGGTAACGACTTTGAAGATTTCAAAGTCAAGCCACCGAAAGATATCAATGATTAAGAGGGGGCTTCGATTGGGTCAATAATGCCGGCTGCAGTCACCATCCTGTTGGAACCATTTTGTTACTCTTAAATACTCTCTCCATTCTAAATCATTAGACGTTTTGATTTTTTTAGATATATTGTTTTTGCTATATATCTAAACATAATATATATCTAAGTGTATAGTAAAAACTATATAAGTAAAAAAGCTAAAACATTTTATATTTCAAATGGAGGAAATAGCTTTGTAGGAGGATGATCTAACAAATTTAAACTATTACGGGTATGTTTGGTTGGGTGTCCAACTCCTGCCTTGGTTTTCTAGAGCAAAAAATGGGCTTGTTTGGTTGGTTGTTGATGGCTGTAGCTAGGTTTCCGGAGGCCACCATACGCCCCTGGCGTGGTTCCCAAAGGACGTGAGTGTTGGCCATTTTTCTGGAGCCTGGCTTGGCCAGGCTGGGTGTCTAGTTGAGTCACCTCTCAGTCCGTGCGTGCTCGAGCGGAGAAGGACGACGGCGGTGCTCCGGCCACCACCACTCCGGCCAGATCCTCGGCGTCCACACGTTCCCCACCCGCGAGGAGCTCGTCGTGGCCGGCCCCTGCGATCTCACTGCGGTCGGCGCCACCAGCCAGGGAGCTGGGGCGCGGCCGGTCTGCATGGGTCGAGCCAGAGCTCCGCTCGATCCCCTTCCCTGCTGCGTGCAAACAGGCAAATCCCATCCCATCACCGACCGATCCACTCAGCCAGGATCTAGGAGAAGAGCGGCTCTGTTCATGCGGATCTGGTGACGTACGGCGGTCGCGGTCTCAATCTTGTGGAGATGGAGGAGTCTGCATGCTCCGCCCCGACGCGCGAAGGGCGATGACAATCTTGGTCCACCTCAGCCTGTGGTGCCTGGCCAAGGAGATTGAACCAACTTTAACCCAAACAATTATGTGTGCCATGTGCCAAATCGAGAACTTTAACCCAAATAGTCAGATTTCACTACAAGAAATCCAACCACCTTAACTACACTCACTTCGTTGAATTATTATCCTTTCAAAGATTATGACATTGAATCATACACCTATAAATATCTTCCAATCAGATAGCTTGGAAAATTCATAGCCACACTACCGCGTGACTTCATTCCACTCGTAGGTAACTCGAGTGCGCATCCAAAAGGAGGAGAGTGAGTTGGATTGCTAAAAATTTAACCTTGGACTCTACTTGAATTCTCATTACAACTAATGTGCATTTAAGTTTATCTAGTGTTATCTATGTACCCAAACTCAGTTTATCAAATTAGAGCCAATTATATTGACTAGCCTAAGCTACTCCAGAAAAGGTAGGTCACGCTAGTAGAGCACATTTGGAATGTAAATGCGGTAAGAAAAGAGCTCAAACTAACGGGTACAAACTCTTGAGACAAGACGATGCGTCCCATGATGCCAGTGAAAAAAAAAGACTCCAAATAATCCATTGCATTGCACCTAGCCATTCCATTGATCCATTGTTTCTGATTTCTCTATCTTTGACCCCAGGCGACTATCGAGTGACGCCGGAGTATTCGGGGCATGCCCTACAGCTGTGAGGACGGAGGGCCACAAGCCATGGACCATGGTTGTGTCATGTTTGGTAGTGTGGTGCAAGGCGTGCGCCATGGCTACATACATGATGCAAGTATGAGACAGAGGGCAAGCATCGGTGCAGAGCGTTTGGGCCGGGCTTGGTCCTAGGGATGAAGACATTGAAAACTATGAGTTACGATATAGTTTTTTCTAAAATGATTCCTCGACGACCAGAAACTCACTATATTTTCAACTGAACTATTTAATAATGACATAATAGACTGCTTAAAAATTAGAAAAAACAAAATTTTAATAAATACCGTAATGATCGGAAACAGTCATACTACATAATGCTTAATTTTCGCTTTTATCTCTCCTTGCTGTGTTCGGTCTCAGACGTAGCGGCAGGACATCTCCACGCGCATAGGTATATTCTTCACTATCACTTCCTCTGTTCCAAATTGTTACTTTGTACAAACATGGCAATGAAATTATAAACAAGGCAATGGAAAAAAGAATAATGCACATGCATATGTGTGTGTGTGTGTGTGTGTATATATATATATATATATATATATATATATATATATATATATATATATATATATATATATATATATATATATATATATATATATATATATATGAGCTCGGTAACTCTGAGCCTCCTATCTAGGCAGCCCTCGTCGATGGGGTGGGATGGGTGCCGTCACACACGTCGGGTACGGACGGTGGGCCGCGGGGCGGACCAGAGATAGGCAAGACGAGTGGACCCGGTACACAAGAAGCGGGGCACGGGTACCAACTTAAATTTTGGATTTTAGAATTGGATTTTGAATCTTACCGACAAGATCTCTATGAAAGGTCCACAAAATTCAATTTAGTCATGCTAGCAATTGTATTTGGTATTCTCCTAGAGATGCTGCAATCTCTAAGTATTAATATTGCCAACTTGTTGAGATGTCCAATTGCCGGTGTTATGGGGCCAGCTAAACCAGGATAATTATAGGATATTTGCAGGAATCTTAAGTTTTCTAGATTGCCAACTGAAGAGAGTAATTGACCCAAAAAAGCATAATAAAAGATTGTCAAATATTCCAATTTCGTAAGGTTGCCAATTGACTGTGGAATTGGCCCTATGAAATCACAATACCTAATATCCAGGCTTCTCAAATTGGTGAGGTTTCCAATCTAGGAGGACGTTGTCTTGGTGGAGTAAGAATTAGAGAGTTTCAATGTTGTCAAGCTCTGGAGATCACCAATCCATGAGAAATTTGACCCTACTTCCTTTGAAAAATTTATCGAAGAGAGTCACAAGGTACTAATATGGTCCAGCTTGTTTACAAATATATAGGGAGGCTACATAAAATTGATCTTCCATCTATTCCCAGATCTGTCAAAAATGTGAGATTGCCTAAGTAGCTCAGAGTGACATCAGACAAAAGAGAGTATCCTGTATATTCAAAGTTTCTAGGGAACTCCCATAGAGAAATTTTGGAACATGCCCCGAGAGTTGATCATTATCTGACACATCCATTACTCCCAAATTCTTCATTTGAAAGACTTTGGGAGGACCCAGTACACAAATGGCCCGAGAGTTGATCGTTATTTGACACATCCAGTACTCCCAAATTCTTCATTTGAAAGATTTTGGGAGGACCCAGTACACAAGGGAGCAAGGGCATGTGCCCCACTTAAATTTTGGATATTCAAAGAAAATATACTTTCTTCCGTGTAGCTAGGTCCATTAATAATAGACCGCCACTCAAATTTTGTGCTAGTTCCACCCTTGACGAAGCCGTGTCCTCTAGGCTCCAGTGCCTGGTCTGGTCTAGTCCATTTCAGTCAGCGATCAACTATATATAGTGATCTGTTCCTCGTTTTGTCCTCCATGTGGGATACACGCACTTAGAGAATTTTACTTAGGAGACTTTGAAGGCAAACAACATCTTGATCGTTGGATTTATTCAACGCGGATTGGAAACATATTGGATTCAATCCTCACAACGAGGATGATGCGAGCATGCATCGAGCTACGTCACGCACTTACACCACCAAGTACACTTCACTAATAGTACAACTTCAATCATACGCTTGTTGTGAGGATTTGATATCAAACGGATGCATACATCCATTTCTTGGTCACCCTAACAATTTGAAACGGGGAGTATACTAATTAAATATTTCAAAAGAGTCGCCACCTTTATTCCTCACTAGACATGTAGGGAAAAAAGATAAATCTTACAAGTTCTCATATTAATTAGAAACATATCTGGCATATAATAAAGATAAACCCTAGCAAGAGTACGTCTAGTGATTTTGATAGTTGATTGGCAACATAAACATTACGACTAACAATGATTGCTAGTATACAAGGTACAGTAGCCCTAAGGATGCAAAGATGAACTTGAGCTAGGCTACGGTGGAGATCAAGCAATCACCACAAGCAAAAAGCTTAAGACATCAATCAAGTAAAGCCAAGACAGATGGATGTGAAGAAACAAGACTCACAGAGCATCCCAGAGATGCACGGGAGAAATCCGATGGCATCAGAGCGCTATTCGATGGGGTCATTGGAGATTTCAAGTGGGCTTGATCCAAAGCAAAAAGAAGAAGCCCACATATATACTTCTGGTGTGGTCATCGGGGATACAGTTCACTCGAGCTTCCCGCTACTTTGTGGGCGTGTAACGTGCACCCATACTGGCAACTGTCATGCCCTCCGATTTGATTTGAGTCCATTCCGCTACTTGTTTGATTTGAGTCTCTTCTGTTCCTCCTTTCTGTGGTTCTTTCGTGAGTATTACTATTACGGACTCGATTTGTAGAGGCATCTGGTATGCCTCTATAGACGGCTGTCTCTATGCATCTCCACCAATCAATGGTAATCAATGGTCTCTAGAGACGACTAGCTTGAACATGAATAACTCCTTTTGTTCTTCTATGTGCACTCTTCCATAAACAAAAATGAGCATTCCTATACAAAAATAAGCACTTTCTTACATGAACCTATTTTTGGTATAGCTTTTATCTTATTTTACTATCTCATAAATATGAGTTAGAAATAACAAAAAGGAAAAAGATAGAAAGGTATCCATTTCATGTTAAAATATATCTTTTACATTTATTTCTTTATTTGCAATTTGGACATTTCCATGGGTACTTTTGAAACTTTTTAGAAAGAAAAACTTCCCTTTCAAAAGATTACCTCTGCCTTCATGGTTGCCTCATCTGCCGCCTCTACCTATCCATCTAGGTGTTGCAAACACGAGCCGCCTCTGCAAATCGATTTTTATTTTATGAATTGGGTTCCAATTTTTTTAATCTGGGGATGCCCCCAACAGGCATGCAATTTTTTGCACGAAATATGTGCACCTATGGCCGCGGGGGCTCAAACGCGCGATCTCAAGCCTCGTGTGTACCCTCCCCTAACCACCCTAACCCAAAATCACTTATGAGGTGTGACTAAAGAGTAGATATGTTCCTTTTGTATTCACTATACTAGATTTTGAAATGAATTTTTGAGACCTTAAATGAATTCAGGAAAAAGGTTTCAACAGGAAAGTTGCAGATATCATCGAGTACTTCAAGTTTGGTTTTGGCCATTTCTCCATCCGAGGTCATTTGATAATTTTAAATTTCAAAGTGTGAGAAATTCAAATAAAATTTTCCTTGGATAAATAGGTTCAAATGAAAAGGTTGTAAACTACAAATTTGTATAGCTCTTCGAGATCAAAAATTTGATTTTGTCATTTCTTTATCCAAGGTCGTTTGAAATTTTTGAACTTCAGAATGTGGGGACTTTGAATTGAATATTGAGACCATATTATTATTTCAAATGAAAAGTTTCTCGACTTCAATGTTTTAGATCTTTTAGAGATTTATAATTTTGGTTTTGGTCATTTCTCTCGTTTGAAAATTTTAAATTTCAAAATGTGAGAACTTCAAACATAATTTGTGAGATCTAAACGGATTTTTTTTAAAAGTCATCAATTACAAAGTCATCGATCTCTTAGACATATATAAGATAGCTATAACTTTGATATAAAGTTTGTCTTCGTCTGACTTTGTTTGAGAAAGTTATGAATTTTGCTATGCTCTACTTGTCTTAGAGGCGGACCAAATTGCTATTCGTCTCTGTAAAATCCATTTACAAGAGAAATCCGGTGGCTTCGGAGCTATCAGATGGGGCAACCGGAGATTCCAAGTGGGCTCGGTCTAAAGCAAAGAGAAAAAGCCTAGATGTACACTTCTGGTGTGGTCGCCGGAGATATACAGCCTGTTCGGTTGACTTGTGCTCGTCGTAAACGATCGTAAATTTTCAGCCGGAACAGTATTTTTCTCTCACACCAAACCAGCCAGCATTACATCTTCACAAACCAGCAACGAACAAGCCCAGTCAAACGAACAGGCTGATAGTCTGGAGGCACTATTGGAGACACAATGGAAGCTTAGAGAGCACTTTAGCTCTCGGGTGCATGCACCAGTGTATTCAACGATCCAGATCTGTCAGGAGGTAAAGAGAAATAAGTGAAGTGGTCTTATCATTAAGCTTGATTTTGAAAAGGCACACGCCAAAGTCAATTGAGATTTTCTTCTCGTGGTCCACATAGTTTTGCACCTAAATGGATCACATCTATGGAACAAGTTGTAAAAAATGGTACGATATGTGTTAAGATAAACAATGAGGCTGGCCCTTTATACATTTCACAAAGGAGTCCCACCAGGTGATCCTTCGTCTCTCCTTCAATTTGAATTTATTTAGTTTTAATTCTTTATTGAATTTTATTTTAAAAATAATGTTACCCATTTTTTATCTAACTCTTTTGGCCGCGTCAACACGCTTCGCACGACAAAATCACACTGTCGCACCACATGCATTGGTATGGTAAGATTTGTCACGCTGGATGGAGATTTTCACATGGAAAACCTCATCGTGCCGGCAATATTGTTGAGCATCTTAGCGACCTCAAATGGAAAAACTCAAAACTAGAAACTTGTAGATCTCGTCGAGATCTATAATTTTCATATAAAGTCGCTTTCATCCGACATTGCATGAAAAGATACAATTTTTCTAATGTTGAGGCTTACCACGCCAACGGGAGTGGCGCAACAAGGTTTTTCATGTGAAAATCGTTGTCCAGCGTAGCCGATTTTACCACGTCAATGCATATGTCGCGGCAGCGCAATTTTGCCATGCCAGGCGTGTTGGCATGACCAAAGAGTTGGAAATAAAAATAAAAAATGGGTGAGGTTATTTTTAAAATAAGATTTGAAAAAGGATTAAAAATGAAAAAAAATCTTCAATTTTGTTGTCAATGTCCTTTGATTATCAATGGCCAGCGCACCAACCTTCTCATAGGTCTTGGTAGCAATCTGATAAATAGAGGCGTCGCTATTCTTCAATACGCCGACCATTCTCTGTATCAAAGATGACATCGAGATGCCAAGAAACCTGAAGCTGTTGTTATGTGGCGGACCCAGGATTTGGTGAAGACTAGGGCGAAACTTCAGCAGCAAAAAACTGAAAGCTACACCACGGTCTATATGACCATATATATAGAGAGAAAAACAACTATTATCAAGGAAAGTTTGCAAAATCGAGAGAAATTCTTCGACTACATAATTAATAGTACAATACAATAGCTAAGGAAAATCATGGAACGCTGAAAAATAAATAGCAAATGACGTTTTGGTGCATTGGCATCGTCCACTTCCACAGTGGTGGTCTGGTGGATCAAACGAAGATTGATATGGATTCAAGGTGCTCAAACAATACATAGAACAATGAGGATTCATGAAATAATGCAAAGTAAAATGCAATTGTTAGTAAATAGATATTGATATTTGTTGAACATTCAAAATTGAACAAAAATGAGTAGGCACAATTCACAAATCAGTAAGTATTCAATATTTGAGTAGACAAACATGAAACACGGACAGCTCTTACTAAGTGTTGTACTGCAGAGAGTGGGGACGGCGCAGACGAGCGGGGCGGCAACCGCTGGGCAGCGGCGGCGGAGAGACCGCGACTCCGCCTCCGCCGCTCCGGCGCTCCGCGAGATGGTAAGTGTGATGGTGGCCGGCGGGGCTAAGCGAGAGCGCGGAAAGGGGAAGCACCGGAGTCCGAGGGCAGCCGGCCAAGAACGGCGTTGCGAGAGCGGAGGGGCAGGGCAAGGCGACGACGACGGCGCGCGCCACGCAAGCCTGCAGGAAGCGCGAAAGCGCGACTCGCTCGGTCTGCCCTACTCTCTGCCTAAGACTGCTTGTGCCATTGGGCTGATGGGCCAAAAACTGAAGTGTTGCTCCTGGGCTATTTGGGCCATGACTAGGGCCATGGCCCCAGTTGCCCTAGTGCCGGGTCCGCCCACGTATATATACAAGGTGCTTTCTGGGCTAAAAAATATTTTTTTCCAAGAGCGAGGTTTTCATGATAAATGACAATAATGATAACTTATAGAAATATGCAGAGCTCTTTGTTCATCAAACGGGTGAATTCCCTATTAAATACCAGGGGTTGATGACATTGCCAACTGTATCCAACAATGTTGGAAATGGTTTATCAAGTGGCTCTCTAATGATAAACGGATGCATGTTTTTTTCAATGTTGCTATTTGCTTTTTTCTGATCCGGATTATAGCTTGTGTCTCACTAAGAGGAATAGAGTTACACGACGCAGCTACGAGAGAGCCATCATAGCACAGATTAGGATACATCAACGCAATGGTTGCCTACAGATGGGGACAAAGCCACGGTGGCAAAGCATCCACCAAGAGAAGACAGATGAGCATCCAACAATAACAGCGGCAAAGCATCCGTCAGCAAAGACCAAGCGACCACAACGACAAAGTATCCGCCAAGAAGTGGGCCAACATTCTCTCGGCAGCAAAGCATCTACCTGAGAGGGGGCCAAATAGACAACGACGGCCAGCCTCCACCGAGGAAGGAGCGAAGATGACCACGGCGGCAAAGCATCCGCAAGGGGAATGGTCATCACACTCTCAGTAGCAAAGCATCTTGCCAGAGAGGAGACCAAGCGATATCATCGGCCAAGCATCCACCGTGGGAAAAACGAGAACGGCAAAGCTTCCACTACGAAAGCAAAATGACGGCGACACGGTGAAACACTGCAGGATAGACCACTACGAGAAAGAACATGAGACACACAGGCACAACTACAAACTCCACCAAGAACCAACGGCGCGGCATGAACCATGCACGATGGCGGCAACCACGTCGGGTGACAAAGCAGGCTCCAGCGAGCAAAGAGGCCAAGGGGAGCTCGCATCGAGCCGCAGGTGAATCTCTAGTGATGCCTCCAGGAAGGGGGGGTGACGCCCAAGGATTTCACCGTGGGCGCCACCGCCGCTGGCCTTAGAGGCTTCTGAGCTAAGGCCAGGCTTACACCTAGAGCCCGACACCGACGACGCAGCCTGAAGCATGGGATTCTTCAACGACGCCCCCAAGGAGGTATCTGGCACCTGAGACGTCACTGTCGTCAGCCTAGCTGAGCTTTCTCCCATAACCCTATGCGTCGAAGAGCAGCCTCGTAGGTGGGTGACCACGAGGCCGTCAGGCGAACGCAGGGTCCGCGAAGAGTCGTGGACCACACAGAGCTAGACACCCAAGCTTCCATACCTGGGAACACTGAAGAGACGCTGTAGCCTCGCCCTGATGATGCACCGTGTGCCCGCAGGAGGAGGGTAGCTGCTGATGAGGAGGCGTGCCACCACGTGGCACCTCTGTGACACGCTCCCCCCGGGCCTCCTCGAACTCGCGCCTGGCGTGGCGTACAGCGCCTCCCGCCACGGCACCCTGCGACCGTCGAACCATGTGAAGAGCCACGCCTCTCGGAGGATGTTGCGGTACAGAGCCAGCGCCTCCTGCTAGGAACTCGCCAGCCGCCATCGCGCCTTTGCTGACTCCTCATTCGTGCCCACTGCGGGCTTCTTCACGAGGTGCCGGTCCAGCAGCTCCCCGACGCCGGATCCGGCGCGGGCAAATGCAGATCTCGCTGCCGGCCAACAGGGGGAGCCTGGGGAGGGGGGTGCCATCGCCGATGCCCGCGCCTACGCCTTCCTCAACAGGGAGCACCCACGCCGCCATGCAGGATGGCTGGATCTGGCCGGAGCCACCGGATCCTGAGAGGGAGGCGCCAGATACGGCGCCGGCGGACGCAGACTCGCAGCCGACCAACATCCGCAGGCAAAGCTTGGGGAGGGCAATAGAAGGGGGAGGAAGAGGGCTGCGGATGGCCGCTTTTTTTAGCGCCACCGCGGCCGCCGCCACCGCTCGCCGGAGACAGCAGTGGCAACCAAGGAGCATCCAGAGGTGGGGGCACTCGACGGCGGAGGCCCGTCGCCCGGAGCCGCCTCACGGGGAGGCGACGCGGGGAGCCGCCTCATGGCTAGAAAGATGTCTGTCCCACTGTTGCTATTTGTTGGTCTAATGGAAATATCGAACCACTGTTGCTATTTGTTGGTCTATATGGAAATATCGAAACAAAGTCTGTTTCGATAAAAAGATCATTAAACACCAATTTGAGATGATTACAAAAGTTTGCTCTGTTCTTAATTTTTGGATAGGTCTTTCAGAGGAGGAATCAAGGAGAAGGTGGCCAAGGGCGCGAACTTGCTCCTCCGGACTGCCCTTCAGCTGTTGTTTACCCCGGAGCACCACCCTCCGTCCCTCCCTTTTTGATCACTGAGACTGAGGAAGATTCTGGAGATGACAACAAGGGCGACGTCCATCTTGAACAGATTTGATATGGATGGAGTTTCTTTTGATATGATTGTCTTTGTGTTGCTTCAAAGTTAAACTAAGGACCTGCGATGTATACATGCTAGTACTTTCTTTTGAGCAGCGCCCTAATCTAGGAGATTGAGAGTATTTAGGCTTGCTGTTCACCTGAGTCAGGTGTTGACATAATGTCTTTTAATCTCCCTCCAAGTAGTTACTCATGAACTCTGTTCTTGATTCGTTCTTAATGGAAAAATCGGGTGTATCCCGATTCAGAAATAAAAAATAAAAACAAAATCCTAAATTGCTCCGGTGCATATATCCCAACAAACCAAGTGGTAATATCCGTTGAACTGATCCAATAAAAATTGTTAGAGTAAATAGAAATAGTATCACATGTTGGCGCTAGATCGTGCTTTAAGCCTGGAACGTGAACACGACGGCAATGTCGCGGTGACCGTGATCACCACGGCGAGCTCTGACGTACAGATACAAAACACACGAGAGAATATGGGAATTTTGTGCTGCCCACAACCGTAGCTAGTTGGACCTTTATTGCTTGATATTTATAGGCTTGCATCAAACGCAAAGCCCTCCCCCGCCACGACACAAAGGATCGCCATACCGTTTTCCCGGTGCGCGCTACATGCGCCGTTGTGCCCTGGCGGGAGACCTAAAAGACTCCAACCGGGTTACGTTGTGATCATGCACGCCTAAGATCGCAGCCAACCCCTATCGACTATTACAGACTCCGACCTTAGAACGAATGTTTACAATATCGTGCAACTAATTAGCTAACAAAACACCCCCTAATCTAGATGCACACTGACGACACCTAGAGCACTCCTCAGTTCTATGAACCTAACTCGCCCCAGTGCCTTCGTGAAGATGTCGGCGAGCTGCTCTGCAGTTCCAACATGATCTACCTACACCTTTCCTTCTTCAATGCATTCACGAAGAAAATGATACTTTGTATCAATGTGTTTACTTCGATCGTGATGTACTGGATTTTTTTTGAGCGCGATAGCGGACATATTGTCCATGAGTAGCTTCACAGTCGTCTCCCTTGTTCCCAACATGTCTGCAACCAGTCGATTGAGCCAAATCCCTTGGCACGCTGCTGCTGCTGCTGCTGCGACATACTCCGCTTCGCAGGAAGATAAGGCAACAATCTTTTGCTTCTGCGAAGCCCATGTGACCAAGCTACTGCCGAGAAAATAACCAACACCAGAAGTGCTTTTCCTGTCCTCGACATCTCCCGCAAAATTACTGTCGATGTACCCAACCAACATTGGTTTCAATTCAGCTCCTTTATCATATCTGCAGCCATACGCCAACGTACCCTTCAGGTATCTTAAGATATGTTTGACAGCAGCCTAGTGTTCTCTTCCTGGGGCCTCCATGTACCTGCTCACAACACCTATTGAATATGCCAAATCCGGCCTTGTGTTGACCAAGTATCTTAGGCTCCCAATTATGCTTCTGTACTCGGTTGGATTCATAGACTCTCCATCTTTCAGCTTGCTGAGCTTGAGTCGACATTCCATAGGAGTCTCACACTTGTTACAGTTACTCATACCTGCATTGTTAAGTATCTTTGCAGCATATGAGCTTTGACAGAGTGTGATCCCATCAGTCCCTTGCTTCACCTCAATTCCCAGGTAATAGCTCAAGAGACCCAAGTCACTCATGCTAAACTTTTTCTTCATCTTAGATTTGAAAATATTGATGTCCCTGACATTCGGTCCTGAGATGATCAAGTCATCTACATATACTCCCACAAGCAAGAATGAATTTTTGTTGCTCCTCCGGTATACTGCATGATCTAGCTTGCTTCTTACAAACCCAAGAGCAATCAGCTCTTTGTCAAGTTTTGCATTCCACGCCCTCGGTGCTTGTTTAAGCCCATAAAGTGCCTTCCTTAACTTGAGTACCTTGTCACTAGTCCCAACTACAAAACCTAGAGGTTGTTGCACATACACTGTTTCTAAGAGGTCACCATTCAGAAAAGCTGATTTTACGTCCATATGATGGACCTCCCATCCACCTTGAGCTGCAAGTGCCAACAAAACTCTAACAGTTTCTAGTCTGGCAACTGGAGCATAAACTTCATCAAAGTCAACTCCATAACGTTGAGCATAGCCCTTTGCTACCAGGTGCGCTTTGTACTTGACCACATTCCCTTCGGGGTCCTTTTTAACCTTGAACACCCATTTCAGGCCAATGGCCTTTTGCTTTGGTGGCAACACACCGACATCCCAGGTTTTATTTGCCTCTATTGCCTGCATCTCTGACTGCATTGCTTGTCTCCAACACTGCTTGGTCAAGGCTTCATCCACTGTCCTTGGTTCTTCAGCAGCAACTAAGCAGAGACCACTGTACTCGAACTCTTGTACTTCCTCTGTCGTATCGAGCAGATTGGGTATTGTTCGATACCGCAATGGCGCGCCGTCAGAGTCGACAGACCCATTGGTGAGTGGAGTCGCCCACTGGATCATTGGTGTCCCTGGACTGGACATTGGAGTTTGTGGAGGCGAGTTTGAAGCACCCCCCCACCGATGGAATTGACGCTGCAAGCGAACCCGATTCACCATTAGGTTCAGAAACATCTTCATAAGCCGCATCAGGTCCGTCAGCCTGTATTGTCGGATCATGAACAGTGTCGTCAAGACACTAAACTCTGAATGTGTTCTGTTCTGTTGCTTCTGCGTTCGCGCTGCTGCTGTCCTTCCCTTCCCAATTCCATGGCTTGCTTTCATCGAAGATCACATCACGGGTCAGTATCAATCTATCTTTGACGGGATCATAGATTCGATACCCCTTCATCCCCGGCTCATAGCCGAGAAAAACTCCTGGGACAGTTCTGTCAGTTAGCTTATTCATACCAGGGCCAATGCGTTTAGCATACGCAACGCATCCAAAAGTTCGTAGATGCTTGACTCCCGGTTTCCTTCCATGCCACATCTCAAACGGAGTCTTCCCGCTCAGGCTCTTTGTTGGACTTCGATTCAGGATGTGTACGGCTGTTCTGACGGCTTCTCCCCAGAACTTTGATGGCACCTTCATGCTTTTCAACAGACAACGCGCCATCTCGACCACCGTTTGATTCCTCCGTTCAACAACACCATTTTGTTGTGGTGTATATGGAGTGGTGGTGTTGTGCCTTATACCGTGCTCATTGCAAAATATTACAAACGCACCTGAATTGAATTCTCCTCCACGATCTGTCCTGAGCGCTTTCAGTCGACGACCGGACTCCAGTTCAGCCGCCACCTTGAATTTCTTGAAGCATGCAAGTGCTTCATCCTTTGTTGCAAGAAGCTCAAGCCACATAAAATGACTGTAGTCATCGACGATTAGAAGAAAGTATGCCTTTCCTCCTGGTGTGGGTGGGGTAATTTGCCCACACAAGTCGCTGTGCACCAGCTCAAGTCCAGCCGAGGCACGATAAGCTGAGGCTTGAGGAAAGGATGCAAGGTGTTGTTTCCCTAACGCGCAGCCGTCGCACACCTGTTCAATCTGCTTGATCAGAGGCAGTCCATCCACCATCTCCTTGGTGCCGAGTTAACGCAGTGCCCTGAAGTTCAGGTGACCGAAACGAGCATGCCACCTCCAGGCCTCTTCATCCATCTTTGTTAGAAGGCAAATAGGCGTTGTCAGGTTGACTTTCATGACATACAGGCGATTTTTCCGTTCTGCCCGGATTAGAACACTCCGAGCACGACCAGGCAGTTCATGATCGAACACCTCCATTATGCCCTTGTCAATCTCAACTCGACATCCTGCCTCTTCTAGCTGACCAAGACTCACGATGTTGCATCTGAGGGATGGGATGAAGTACACCCCAGTGAGCACCCGATGCTCTACATTGGTACTGCGCCAACACCACAGATTTCAACAGTGGACCCATCTCCAAATCTGACTGCACCTCGTACTATCTCATCAAGGTCTGCCAATGACGCTCGGCAGCCTGTCATGTGATTTGTGGCTCCTGTATCAAGCACCCATGCGCCTTCATCATAATTTGCCGGAAAAACTCGTTCCTGATTCAGGAACAGGCGCAGCCGACCTTGTAGCGCGCTCAATGTTACACACACTTGCTACCAACAGAGCTGGCCCCTTGTCGGTGTCACCACTGACATGATGAGCAGCATCCTCCTGCTCTTCCT